TTTTTTTTTCATTTTATGCTAATACTTTCCCGAGAAGTTATGTCATAGCTTAGTTAAATATTCAGGAATTTTTATATACAGTATTTTGATGAAATTTGCTGGGAGAGAAATGTTAAAGGTGATGCTGGAAGGAGCAAATTTAGTTTTTTGTTTTGTTTTTCTTGAAAGATAAGGACAGGTTCATTGTAATGTCACTTTGGATAAGAAAATGCTGGCAGTTGCAAAGGAAACAAAAGTGTTTTGGAGTAATGTTCAGCAAGTGAAATAGAAAAGCTGAATTAACAGAATAATGCAACTAGGAACAACTGATAGGATTGTGGGGACATTAATTAACTCATTCAATGCTGCTGTTCTGAATTTCAAGTGCATCCTCAGTGTGGCATTTTTGACATGTAGCCAACAGGTTTCCACTCCACTTGGCATGTCCACATTCAACTACCAGGGGTGCACCATTCCATATGTGGCATGGCTGCAATGAATGGATTAGTGGAAAATTTGGGGTGGTGTGTGTAAGGAGACTTCAGGGAGTAGTGATGTTTTCTACTCTTATTTGGATGTGAAATTCAAATGTTTCTTAGTGATAGAGTTAAAAATACAGATGCAAAGGGAAGTGTGAGGTCAGAAAGTCTAGAGAGATGAATGGTTGAGTGGGAACTGATGGTAGGGCTATATGAAGTTCAGGACAGTTGAGAGAGGAGTTAGATTTATGACAGCACAGTTGATGGTACAAGACTAATAAAGAGTTGATAGACAATATAGGTGAATTAGTGTGGTCTAGAGGTGTTACCTTTGATGGCAACAGAAGAATGATCGTGGATCATGAATAGTATAGTCATTATACATAAAAAAGTTGTAATGTGAACAAACCTGAAGACTTAGTATGCACAGGGAATTGATATGAAGCATTGAGAGTTAGTGAGGATGCCAAAGATTAGCTATGTACTGTATATTGCATATGCAAGTTTAGGATCTGTACAAGTGTAGACATTGTCTTTTATTTGCATTATCCTGTTTCTTTCATTTGCATTTTCCAGTCACAACATTAAATAATGTTAATCTTTGGAAGATTATAAAGCAGATTTTCTCTTGAAAAAATCAACATTGTTCAGGGCAACATTGTTTTAGAGCGGGAAAATTTGCCTTGGACAACTTCGTGACATTGATAAAATTGTTGAAAGAACAAAGTATGATAGATTTACAGTACTTGAATGAAACCTCTTGACTTCTGGTAATGCTTTCGAAGATTCATACTGTATGTACTCCTTGCAATATACTTATATTCACAAGAGGCATAAATGTAAATTTGGAAGATAGTTTTGATTTCAATTCTGCCCTCGGATATATTTGGGTGAACCGAGAGATACTGGGCAGTAAAAAGTTCAAGATACAGTATTGTACATTCATCGGGAGGTAGGGATGCAATAAGTACAGTCAGATGAAATGGTTTTATTACTATTTTTTTTACTGGCAAACACTAAGAGGACAGCGTTGTGACACCATTGAAGGTGTATTTGATGGGTTGGAGGGAAACATATGAAAGAGCTAAGTTTCTTTATTTGTAGGCTTATGAAGCATAAGAATAAAGCACTAAACATAGTAAGGAGGAAAAGGGACAATAATGTAAATATCATTGATAAATGTTAAGAGATCTGTATCTATTCCTATCCTGAGCACACACTTGCAAAGGACTGTGCTGAAAATATTTAATTCATCGGGGAGAAAAATTGGCAAAATTGTAAATTCAAAGCAGCAAAAGTGCATAAATGAGGATAGTGTTATTACAGCATACCCTATCATGGATGCACAAAGATGTACCGTAATACACTATATTGGTGAGATTGGATGGGGGCTTGATGAAAAGATGATCATAACACCAAACAGATATACGTAGACATAACACCTCAGATTCTCTAGTTAAGTATTTGGAACAATGTCATCATTTGTCAGTGGCAGGATGCTACAATTATACCTAAAGGATTAGATAAAAGGATGAAAAAGGCCTTAAAAGTAGCATATATATACAGTATATATATATATACAGTATATATATATACAGTATATATATATACAGTATATATATATATATATATATATATATATATATATATATATATATATATATATATATATATATATATATATATATATATATATATATATATATATATATATATATGCTGATAACCACAAGGAAAGAAGAAAACACGAAGTTCCCAAGCGCTTTCGTGTAATTCACATCTTCAGCGCTTGGGAACTCCGTGTTTTCTTCTTTCCTTGTGGTTATCAGCATATACCTAGATCACGCGCACCTACAGTGATTTACTTGCATATATATATAGATAGATAGATAGATAGGAAAGAAGTAACTAATGTAATCATAGGTAGGGTTTCATGTGCTGGTCAGTGAATGCCATGGACCTAGCTTTGACATCACAGTAAGGAAGTCAGGTCTTTGACACGACAAGGTGCCCAGAGAGGTGAGAAGCACCTGGGGTACATAAGCCTCTTGACTCCCTTTGCATGCTGTATTCTTGCTGAACATGGGTTGTGTGTAGCCTGATACATTAGAGGAATAAAAAAAACTTAGCTCTCCTGTGCTTCCCTCCCACCCATCAAATCCACTTGTCTTGGATTGACCACCATTGAAGGTGTTCAAATCGTAGGAAATACGACATGTATTTATGATTGCTTGTGGGCATCAACAGCCTGGTTGAACAGGTGGTCATCCTCTGGATCGTGGTCACAATCCTAGCTGCCTTGTAAAATGTTATGAGAGTACGATACTATGTTATCAAAATCTTTGGATGTTGTGTAGTACATGGCCAACTTTGCTCATAATTTTGAATTATTTGTTGTACGCTGTGAAGCCTGTGATACTTGTGTGTTGTATAACGTTTAGAGGTGCTGTAATGGGACATTTTATTCTAGTACTGTATCACTTATTTGGTATTCATTAGCATAAGTTTTTGAGGCTTCTGGGACCCATAGGTAAAGATCTTTTTCTTCTTTGCCCCACTATGCTGAAGCATCATTTGGGTCTAGCTTAAGAAATCATGGGTCTGCCATGTTTTTGCTTTTGAATAAGGCTGATATTATGACAGGATGTAATTTAAAAATAAAATATAATATTCACCATTTACTCAAATGGTCACCTTGTTTGCAATTGATACAACAAATGGAAAATTTCCCAAACTATGAAATGGTGACAGTGGTCTGTGGTGTACAACCTAGGAAGTATTGGCAGCGACCTCTTTGATTATTACATTAGCTGGGTCATTATTTGCTTGTCACAAATATGTTATAAGGATTGATTATAGAATCACTGGGAAATTACATCCCTGAGTGCATTTTCTCCATTTCTTAATCATGAGGTCTGCCATGTTGGATGCTCAGATTCCTGATTAAAGGGAGTCCCTCAGTTAAGTGTTATGAGCTGCTGAACACATGAGGTTTTACTGTGCCAGCTCAAAATAATGCATCAGGGACCAGTAAGCTTAAATTTTTTAATGCCATGAACTTAAAATATAAGCATGTGTAACAGATAGTTAGTGAAGTATAGTGAGATGTAGCTCCCTTTAAAAAAAAAAAAACCTTCCTTGTTGTGACTTGTGAAATTTTGGCATTTGAGAGATTTAACTGTACAGTATGCTTCTTAAGATAACTAATAACAGGAAGGATCTGTGTTTAGGAAACTTTATTTTTTAAATGTGTAGTAGTTGCCAGAAGTAGGAGATTTGTTTTACTGTATATACCCGACTTGTTTCCCTGTATATACCCGACTTGTGTCCCTGCCACTTTATCATAGCATGAAGTCAAAATCAAATTTATCTTGTGCACTTTAATGCCTGCACTGGAGAATAATTTTGCACTGAAATTATTTTGTGAAGTGGAAATTCTTCAGCTGTAAATTTAGTCAAGAAACTGTAATTTTAAAATGGTGAGGAACTACAGCAATAATTGTTATCCTAAGATTCTGGATGAACGTGTTAAATAATCTTGGCCCATTTTCCTCATGGACAAAGTAAAAGAGGTTTATAAGAATAAGTTAGGCTTCGTGTAGTCCATTGGAGAAAGGCAAATTTTGTTCTTGATAAGATAGTTTTAACTGTTATAAAACCAAAAAATGTTACAAAATGTACTGTGTTAGATTCAGGAATTCTTTGTCTTCCTACTATTTTAGACTCGATTACAGGTGGCCATTGTTATGATGTATAGTTTGCTGGTTTTTAGTCACATTAATTGCTTGGGCAAGTACAAAATATGTTCAGGCAAGTAATATTTTATATCTGTTTGTCCTGTTGGCCAGCAAATATAAAAAGAAACAGTAGTTTTGAACCCAGTTAACTATATTTAACTACCAGTTTATAATCAGAGGTAATTGTATGGAGATGTGTGTGTACTAGAATGATAATTGCAGTTATTTATCATTACAGTATAGCTATAATGAATACTGTACTGTGTTTAGACACCAAACTTTAGTTTCTGATCAATGTATAAGATATTGAAACTTTTACCAATGCCAGAAAGAATTAAAGCAGGTAATGAGAATAGTCACTGAGATGGAAAAGTAGAATGACTGAAGGACATGCAAGGTGCATTGGTTGTGATTCATACCACTGGAGCTGCTGGATGATGTTATGATATACAGTATAACAGTTGAAATTTCAGTTGCACTTTTGGACATGCATTGTAGAATGAGAATAGAGGTTGAATGTGTATGACATGTTAAATACCACACCAGTTTCTCTTTGTCAGGCAGTTATCATATATTTAAATAAAGAAATTTTTTATAGGACTTACTTTTCATTTAATTATTACTAGTCATAATGTATTGGACAGATAATCCTATAATGTGATAATGATCTGGTTATTATATAACCATGCATGAAATTTTTTTAAGGTGCTTATATGTATTATTGAATATACTCAAATATATAGATTAAGTAGATAATTAGTTGAAAGTGGATAATAAAGTTTTATCTTTTATTCAATTGTTGCAGGATCAGATTTTTGCACAAACAGGGCAGTGGTATCTGGCAGATCCCATGTTAATTCAGGTACGAGGTCCAGCCTTCAGTTGGCTTCTGGGAATGGTTGATGTTGGATATGTATCATCTTCCTCACCCTCCCTCCCTCCCCTCCTCCCTATATTATTAGGATCCCTCCACTTAATTTATCTAATACTCTACTTTGCCTTGATTGTTTCCATTGTTACAGCTCTAGTATCAGTGCTGATCCTTAACATAGTATATTACTGTACTGATCTAAGAAAATTAGAAATAAATCCATCTTAATATTCAGTATTGTAACCAGATAAAGTAAAATTATATTGACTGCTTTTAAGGGGACATGAGTCACCTAAGGGCAGAATTTGCTTCCTATGTATTTGTTTGTAGATAGATCTGTCTGGGATTCAGTTTTCAAGGTTATGAGGGTGACAATGTGGCAGAGATGATCATGTTAGTAAGTAGAAAGCCTCTCCCAACTGTGAAGCTTCCCCCCACCCCTACTATTTTGTTTATGCTTGCAGAAAAATTGTTTATTGTTCGAAGTATTTATGTGAGTGACTTGTGATAGTTTTTGTTTTCAAAACCTTTAAGACAAACCAGTTACAGCTCCTTGCGAGCATTTTCCTCATCTTATATATAAATAGGGTTAGCACTAATCTTTATTCAAAGTAAATTCATGTGTATTCTTCTATTCATATGAAAAGGGGAACTCTTAATATAAAGTTATGAATCTTAAAAAAAAAAGTCATGTAATCTACACCTAGAAGATATAAAGTTAAAAACTGTACTGTACTGTACTTGTTCCTTGTTTAGATATAATTATGTGAAAAGTGAGAAGTTATAATTGTGGTATTTTGGATTAGATTAATTTTGAGTGAAATTATTATTTTACATTTATTCTGTTAACATTACAGTACAGGTACAATCGGCCTTAGAAGTGATGTCACGGTTTTCAGTATGATTCGTTCAAATAGCGATATCTGACAACTTGGTGGGAGCCGAGCGAGAGACTGACCACTGACCAATGGGTTGGAAGCCTTTGTAGTAAGATGGTATATTAACGAACTCCTGAGCCAAATTTCTCGCTACAAAATTTTTCTGGCATTCCCTCATATATTTGCAGGTAAAAGGCTTCAACATGGGGAGCAAAAGTAAAAGAGCTACATGTATATCCCAATACCATGCCAGTCCTAAGACGATACTGCAATAGGAGCTGATAACCCTTGCTTCTTGGTGTAAAATATTCTGCATATGGCTCATTTCCTTGTTATATGTTTTTATTTTTAGAAAGGCATTTCTTACTCTTAAAGTAATTATTAATTGAATAAGGTTTCATAGAAGTTAGCAATTTAACCAAGTTGAATGGGAATCTTTAATGTTTTATATTTTATTCTTGGTTGCGTAAAATACAATACCTTCAGAGCATTGACGACAATGAATTTTCATATACAGTACAGGTAATTACTTGGGAAACGGAATCAAGAAACGTTTATTTAAGCATATCGTTTATCTAAAGCTCAAAATTTTGTTTTGTGAATGCTTCCTGCCCAATGTCTTGGTCCTTAAGTGGTGAATATGGAAAATACTTGTTAACATATAGTATTTATTAAAGACATTGTATAAGTGTGGTGCATATGAATATTATTTAAATTCATGTTTTTTAAATTTTATATTCATTTTAGCATAACAATTAAAATGTTCTTTTTCATTTTGATATCTCGATTCTAACTCACAAATTATTCCTCAATATCCTTGTGCGATAATGTCGTATATCATTTTGTTTCAAAATACTGTAGTATACTAAAATTTTAATTGTGGTTCTTACAATATTCTTATGAAAAACTGCCTAAGCATTTATTATTTTGTTACCATTTCACAAAATTATGTTCCTCGTTGAAAAAATGAAAGCGAAAATAGTTGGTAGTTGCCAGATACCACTTTCTCATCGAAAATTCTGGAAATCGTGACATCATTCATTTGAGAGATTGTATGTACATACTGTAGATAGTGAATTGCAGATAAATTCTTATGATAAGACTAATGCTAGGAGCAGAAACATGCATGGAAAAGTAATTTGCCTTTTGGCTTCAGTTTGTTAGAATAAAATTAATTTTATTGTTAGTACTATTCATTTCAAAATTTTCCGTGGTTTGATAATAATATTAATCAGGCTTTTGGAACTGAAATAGCATTGCATATGAAAATTGGGGAATGTTACCTATCTATCACTACCGGTAATCTCTTACTGAAGTTCATAATCAATTTAGTCTAAGACTTAACTGTAATTTGATTGGGTAATAGAAAGCAAGTTTCTGCCTTTAATAGGACAAAATTCATAAAACTTGACTCGTGTCCCTCCTAATGGTATAAACTCCACTGACCATTGTATGGCTTTCATTTTCTACTGTAGCATCATAAACAGGTGGCTGTATTTGACTGCACTCATAGAAATTAAGCACTGGGGAGAGGATGGGTGATGGCAGTTAAGCAAACTTGAGATAAATAATAGAAACCTTATGTAAATAATTCTTTTGCTTAACTGTCTGCCAGAGCACTTTAGAAATCATAGCTGATGTTCATTTTGCTTAAGATAATAGCTTTTTAGCTATAGTAAGCAGTAACAAAGGATTATTATTTTTAGCCCCAGGATTTAATTGTACTGTACTGTATGTAAATACACATGCACCGCATGTAAACGTGCATACAATGTGTTTTGAGTGAAGGATGAAAGCTGAATACTGTATGAGATAAGAGTGAGGAATTATATTATCATTCTTTACAAGGGAATGAAAAGGCATATAGAGGTGAGTATATTAGGTCAGGAATAGTGAAAAGTTAAGGTAAGGTTCATGAGTAAATGTGGTAACAAAGATAGGTAACAGGAAGTTGATTTGGTGCAGAAAAGCTTTATACAGTGAGTCAAGATTTTGAGAGTATAGTATACAATACAAATGAAGGATGATAACAGTAATTGCATTTCAAGTAGTAATTTTGGAAATTGTTCAAATGAAAGAAAATGTTGAGAAAATTAACAAGGCCACCGGTTCAGGAAATGCTTTGACCGAATATCTGTATATATATGCTCTAATTGGGAAAGGCTATAGATTCTTCTGTTCATAGTGTGAAAAAATTATACAGTACTGTATAGAATTAAAGGTGTTTCACCTTGCAAAGTAAATGTCAAGTAATTTAGACACCCAAAATTTTTCATCATATCCTGAATGTTTTCTATTTTGATATTTTTGCTTTGTAGAAGTAATAAGACATAGTGTTAATGGCACTTGGTAGTAGAGATTATGTGAAGGGTATTGTGTGCAAGAAACAGAAAATTATGAGTTTAGTATTACAGTATATTGGTTGGGACAGTTACTGTAGTGTATAAAATATGGATACATATGAGGTGGTTATAGTTAAAGTTATTACTAAGGGCTGGATTGAAATATGATGGAAATAATTGGATTTTCAAGTTTGCAAATACAGTAGTAGTGAAATAACTTAACCATTGAATGCAGTACAGTAATAAGAAATTCAACTCTGAATACCATATATATATTCTATGAAACACACACACACACACACAGAATTTACTCTTTCAAGCCTTTTCCAGCTTTATATACTGTTAGCCAGAAATGAGTAAATACTCTCCCTTTCCACGACAAGCCTCAAATCATTTCACACAAGTCAGTACAATATCACCCATCCATAACACATCCTTTCCCTAAAATCACTCAAAACCATGTTCTCTACTAATTTTTGTAAACTGATTCCTGGATGTCCATTCCTCTTGCATTTAATGTATCCTTGACCTAAATCTCTGTCTCCTCCTAAGTATTCTCCTCTCCCTCCCTTTGAGTTACAAACACTTTACTGGTCTCTCACTTCCCTTGGCCCCACTGGGCCCAACATGTCTTTTCCATTCACCTCTCCTCTTTATGTCTGTACTTGTTGTTCTCTGCATCCTATTTGACACAGTGCTCTCCAGCACATTTTATTTTACTACTACTTTATTCCTTGTTGTATCCAGTATCCATACGTTCACATCCATACAATAAAGTCAGCTCAACAATTCTTGTGCAGTAGCTAAAACAACTATCTGTGCAGGTGGGGGTCGATATGCTCCGAAATTTTACGTGTGACTAGTGACATATATATATATATATATATATATATATATATATATATATATATATATATATATATATATATATATATATATATATATATATATATATATATATATATATATATATATATATATATATATATATATATATATATATATATATATATATATATATATATATATATATATATATATATATATATTTCCAAACACCTGTGACAATCCTCTTTTTGCAGTAGCTTCATTTCTAGCCCATTTATTATGCCTCTGTTCCACCAATTTTTTCAGCATTTTTCCAATCTCACATTTATTCTTTTGAAGAACATGGTTGTCTTTGAAATGACTTGAGCATTTCGCCCTTACCCTGTTCTTTGTCAGCATATACTGTACCTGTACAGTACTCAGATTTCTGCATGCTTACAAAATACACTGTACTGTATACGTGTTGTCATCCACCCACTAGGATTGGGAGCGTCTTGATTTGCATTGATCTATCCACATTTTAATTCAGCCTGCCATGCTTATTAGCACATTTTTGTGAAGAGTTCTTGTTACAGTACTCACAAATAATTTTTTTTTCAAGCGCATAAATAAATAATCTGGTTAGGCTTTCCATAATTAGTAAGTGAAACAAGAGTATATGATTATTTGAGTACAGTACTATCCTTTCCTTATGACTGAAGATTAACAGGTCACAATCCAGTGCTTATTTTCATTGTATGTTGTGTAAGGTTTGGAAGTGTTGAGGGTCAACATTGTTCCTCCTGAGGAAAATATTACTGGGAAAAGAAGAGAACCCATGTGTTTATTATCTAGAGATGACATTTTCCCTGGCCTTTGTTTCCATGTTAATATATCCTGTAGCTTTTAACATTTTTACCAACATCAGCCATACACAGTAGCCATTAGTTTTCTTTTTTATGTA